GTGTGTGTGAGGGGGCGGGTCGGTGGTTGGGTGGCACACGGGCAGGTGCATGCACCCGCCGCCATGCCTTTTGCCGAAAGTAACGAAACTGAGAGGAAGGAGAACGACGAACGCCTGAAAAGCCAGGGGGATGACGAACACTTGGTTTCCAAAAAAAAAAAAAAAAAACCTGCGACAAAAAAAAAAAAAAAACCCTGCGAAATCGGGAAACGACCAAAACAAAAGGCAAAAAAAAAGGTCGCGGCAGCGGGAGACGACGAAAACAAAAGGAAAAAAAAGGTCGCGGCAGCGGGAAACGACAAAATTGCGATGGGGAACGAAAACTGAACCAAAAAAAGCGAAGGAAAAAAAAAAGGCCACGATACTGGAAAACGACAAAACTGCGAAGGGGAACAAAAACGGACAAAAAAAAGTAAAAAAAAAAAACAGAAAACGACGACCGAAAATGAACTTTTTAACTTCGACCTTTTAACTGTGCTTTAGGGGATTTCTTGAGAAGTTTTTCGAAGATATCAACGTGAGAAATGGGACACGTGAGAAATGGGACATTTAGGACCGATCTTAGGTCCAACACGGTAAGAATAGGATCATGGAGTATGGGAAGTAATATGCCCCCTCGGGCCCTTCCCTTTTGAGCTGCAGAAACACTAAAGATATACGATTGGGCAGCATTATTTACTGAGCTGGAACGATGTCATTTTTGAAAATCTACTTAGAGAATGGGACGCTGGATGTTTTTCAGCAGAAGTTGAGACTAGGAGGATTCTGGGACAAAAGGTTGAAATTTGGCCAAGCTAAACTGGCTGAGGCTGCCAAGATAACTCCGGGTCGAATTGTCAGGTCCCCGGCCTCCCTCCCATGGATTTCATTTGCAATATCTGATCAATATTAAAAAAAAAAATAAAAAAAAATCCACCTTGCCCGCTTATCGACGATGGGCGCATCGAGATATTCATCCGCATCGATGCCCGCCATCTACCCGGCCCCGTGTGGCCCCGTGGGCGTGCTCTCTCGTTTAGTGGCGCACTGTGAACAATTCGGTACGCGCGCCACTCTGCACGCCCACTCGCCTTCGATCATCTTCATCTGCCGGCCCGCACCGAAACTTCGACCCGATTCCGGCACGCAGCGGACCATCAACCTCCCCCCGCAGGCAATGCTGCTTAAGGGGTAGTATATATATATATATATTATATATATCATATATTATATATATATATATATCGTATATATATATATGACAATATATATATATATATATTATATATAGATATAAATATATATATCCTCCTCAGTCCTGATGCGTCCGTGAAAATCACGAAACAGTTGTCACAGTCCCTCGTTTGCTGTCCTCTTTGCCCTCTCTGCCTACGGTTTACCGGGCAGCTCTGTTCTATGTGACGGCCTAAACGCTGTGAACGTGCGCGTGCCTTTACACACGCACATTCAAACGGGCGGGGGCCGCGTTCAAACGCGCTACGCTCCACGTGGTGCAAATTTTTAGAACGCGTCCCACCCCTCCGTATGCCCGCATGGCGGACTACGGGTGGGGGACTTGGTTCTTTCTTCAAAAAAAAAAAAAAAAAAAAAGTGTGGTGGTGTATATCTCCATGTT